ATAAACTCAGAACCGCTTAGGGAGGAAGGGGCCTGCAAGGGGAAAGGGAGCTTTGTCAATGAGACAAAGCTAAAAAGGAACATCATGTTACTAGAAAACACAGCTGTAACGTGGACTTCCTCCGTGTGACCGACAGCCACTTAACGGCAATGGCTTATTATACATAAGAAAAAAAATAGAACACGTTCTTCAGAAGGAAATGACGTTAGAAGATAGTTCTTGAACATAAACCTCTTAGCAAAGTCTTAAATAGCTTCCAAGAGCCTCATCACAGAAAGGGTGGATATGATTGATCTGATGTTAAAGGACCCCTTTATATAATACCTTCCTTCAATAGAAACACGCTTCAAACACTGATTCTCTTAATCAAACGCTCCTTCACTACCACACTCAGCTACCAGCGCCGTTTGGATGCAGAGGTTTCACTGCTGCCCATCTGGCCAAGCCACAGTGGGGACTGATTTGGAGACTTAGTGGACACTCGCGCCACCAGGCCCCCACGGTTGCTGCTGCTTCTGCACAGCGCTCGTGGGACCCGCCTGGGTTTTTCCCTTCCAGCTGACGGACTGCGCATTTGTTACGTTTTCCTGGTGGCCTCCAAAGCATTACACTTGGATTTAGGTTTCTTCTCTCTTTTTTCTTTTACTTCTTTAACTTTACCTTTCCCATCGAGAAGTCTACATCATACCTTCCCTGTCCCTGACATCAGAGGCATCCTCAGACTCTCCGCCAGTTGGAGGGTCCACTTCAGGGTCCTTAGCACCTACCACAGTCCTCCTCCTCCTCCCCAGAGCACCTGAGAATTCTCTTCCTCCTCTTCCCTGGAGCACCCGAGAATCCTCCTCCTCCCCGGAGCACCCGAGAATCCTCCTCTTCCCCGGAGCACCCGAGAATCCTCCTCTTCCCCGGAGCACCCGAGAATCCTCCTCTTCCCCGGAGCACCCGAGAATCCTCCTCCTCCTCCCCGGAGCACCCGAGAATCCTCCTCCTCCTGTCATCTTGCCCAAATCCAGACAATCAGCGCTACGCTGTGGTGGGAGATATGGGGAGACCTCGCTGTTGCCATGTTTTTCTTTGGTTTTATCTTGAGCGCCCTCCGCGATTAGAGATCCTCCTCTGGCAGGGCGAGTGTGACCCCAGGCTCTCCGGCCGAGCTTGTCCTCCGAAGCCGGCCCAGTCCAGGGGTTTCCTTTTGTAGCGGGCTGTCTTCTTTCCGGAGCCCCTTCACTCTAAGGTTTTGGCGTTCCTAGTTCTGACGTCTTTGGTGGTGTTCTTCTTACTTAAAGGTGCAGTTGCAGAATCAAAATTGCCCCTGCAGCCAGAGTCCTCATACTGTGAGGAACTGGCTGGTTTCTTACGCTGCACAGACCACACCTTGGCCTCTTTCAAGGCTGAACGTTGGCAGCTTTGAGGTTCTTGCTGCTGGCAGGGAGGTGTCCGTTCCCTCCCCAGACCAGACACCGGAGCTCTCAGCGCCCTGCCGTCAGCCCTGCAGAGCTTTCCAGCCATCCTGGTTGTGTTCAGGTCTCCTGTTCTCTGTACTAGCCGCCTGCTGCACTGACTCACCTGCTGGAATAATCCAGGTTCCGCCCCCTGAGGCCAAGTGTGGTTTGTGAAACGCATCAGTGTCTGTGCTTTTTCTTTGCTTTTTAAAGTTCACTGAGGTCTTTCTCATTCTAATGTTCTCCGCCTGTGTTTCTGGATGCCGCTTTGTAGAGCAGCCTCACTCTGTGTTTTCCTAAGGCCTGGAAAAAGAACTCCATGAGAATGAATTCGGCCTGATCCCGTGGAAAGAGCAAGTGTGCTTGGCGTCAGATCTGAGTGTGTTTGGATTTGGGCCCTGCAGTTCGGTAGCTGCGTGACGTTGCCTTCATTAAGTGTCAAGTTTCCCATCTGTAAAATGGGGATGACAGGATGGTTTGAAACCCAGTGAAATATGGCATGTTAGGTCTTTCCATTTGTTAGACAGTCAACAGATGATTCTTTCCTTCTTTTTCAGTTCCAAGTGTTTACAGACGTGAGGGGGTACGGCTCTGAGCACTCTGTGGTCATGAGCTTTTTCCCAAGTCTGCTCTGATCTACTCAGTCCCCAACAGCCTTTTCTTAAAAAAATAGTTCTATTGAGGTATATTTCACCTACCATAAAACCCACCTATTTTTAAGATGTGCGAGCAGGTGGTGTTTAGCATATTTGCAGAAGTGGGCAGCCATCCTCACCCTCTCTTTTTTAGAGCATTTTCAGAAAGAAAGCCTGGACCCTTTGGCAGCAGCCATGCTCTGTTCCCAGGGCACAGGGTGTGAATGGTCCCCTTTCCCCTCAAGCCCTGTGAGTCGTGTGCAGTTCGCGGTGTGAACAGAAATGCCGAACTGTAGTCTGGGCTTCTCTATCCCATCACCACGACCTTCTAGTCGCCAAATCAAACTGGCAACTTCTGGTGCTTATGTGACCGGCCTTCTTTGTGGCATTTGCTCTGTCGGTCACCCTTTCTTTGTTGACGCTCTTGCCTCCCTCGTTTAGAGTCCTTCTCTCATGTTCTCCCCCAGGCTAGTCCCCTGGGAACCGCCGTCCAGTGCTGCCATATTCCTGCGTGAGATCATGTTCAATACCTTTATTTTGTTCCTCTTATTTGTCAGTAATTCACTGACCCCCTGGGATGGAAGAATTCCTGTGTCTTTACCTCTTGAACAACTTCAGTTTTCCCTATTTAAATGTATTACTGCATAAGATAAGAGAGGCATTATAGTTACTTAGTTTTTTTTTTCTAATTTTTTAAAATGTCTTTATTTTGAGAGACAGAGAGCGAGCGGGGGTGGGTCAGAGAGAGGGGGAGACACAGAATCGGAAGCAGCTCCAGGCTCTGAGCTGTCAGCACAGAGCCCGATGCGGGGCTTAAACCCACGGACCGTGAGATCATGTCCTGAGCCGAAGTCGGAGGCTTACTGACTGAGCCCCCCAGGCGCCCAGTTACTTAGTGTGTAGGAGCTCACAGTCGTCAGCGAGGCCCTTTCCCAGCCGTGCACGTTCTGCTCGTGTTCCCATCCCGCTTCCTGTGCCTCGTCCGTTTCCCCATGGAAGACTGGCTGTCGCCCCTGTAGACAGCAACGCGGGACACGTATTCGGGGGATTCGATCTGTACCTGTAGTTTTGTTGTGGTCTCAGTTTCTTTCTTGGATGAAATATTTTTAAAATCCATTTCTCACCAAATTTGCTTACTTGACAGAAATCATTTTTCTCGGTGATAGAATTTTCCAAACGTCGTCAGGCCCTTGCAGGTACGTTTCCTGGAGTGCTGCACCACCATGCAGGAAGGAGACTCACTTGTCCCCTTTCTTTTTTTCTTTTTTTTTTTTTAAACATTTATTCATTTTTGAGAAACAGAGACAGAGCACAAGTAGGGGAAGGGCAGAGAGAGACGGAGACACAAAATCAGAAGCAGGTTCCAGACTCCGAGCTGTTGGCACGGAGCCCGACATGGGGCTTGAACCCACGAACCGTGAGATCATGATCTGAGCCGAAGTCGGACGCCCAACCGACTGAGCCCCCAGGCGCCCCAGTTGTCCCCTTTCTTAACAGAGGTGGAGAGAAAGCAAGTAACGAGAGAAAGTTGAAGAGAGAAATTCCAGAAAGATCCTTTCCAAAAACTTGGAAATCCATGACTTCTCTTCCGTTTGTGAGGGAAAATTTGTTACTTTTATAGCCAAGAGCTAGGTTTCAGTTTTAATGGAATTTAACCCAATATTGAAGTTTTATTGAAATTTTAGATTTTTAACAATATTGTCACTGAGTGATGTCTGCAGCCCTAGCTGTAAGACCGTCACCCACCATATGCAACCTCAGCAGTGTCCGTAGAGCCGTGTCAGGGTCCTGGGGCATGTGTCTGGCTCTTCTTCCTTAACCCCCTCTTCTTCCTCCTGCTCTCCAGACTGGGCATTATTAGTCACTTTGTCCAGTCAGGACATCACATGCACAAGAACTCACATTCTAGGGGTGCCCGGGTGGCTCAGTCAGCTAAGCGGCTGACTTTGGCTTAGGTCGTGATCTCGCAGTTCATGGATTCAAGCCCCACGTCGGTCTCTGTCCTGACAGCTCAGAGCCTGGAGCCTGCTTCAGATTCTGTGTCTCCTTCTCTCTCTGCCCCTCCCCTGCTTGCATGCTGTCTCTGTCTCAAAAATCAAAAAATGTTTTAAAAAATTAAGAAAAAGAGAGAACTGGCAGTCTAATGTCTGTATACAAAGACCATATTTACATGTTTAAACAAGCATCTGTCTGCCCTTTTTATTTGCTTCCATGAGTAAAAACAAGCAAGCTAACAGTTCTTATTTCTTGGTATTTGTGCAAGTTTCCCAAGTGCTTGGAGTATATTCTTCAGCTGACTTAGAATACCTATATATGTATAAAAAACCAGGAGATGTGCCTTTATCTCCTTACACGTCTGTCAAAAGTTGCTGGGCCTTTGCTGTGCTTTCCGGCAAGTGGCAGAGCCTCAGATGTATTGCTGCTCACTCATAAACGAGCGTGTAATGTCGGCTGTGAGAGCGGAGAGGCAGGGTGCCACTCAGGGTCCAAGTGGGGACAGAAGGGCACACCGTGGAAGAAGATTGTTCTTTCTACTCTGCGGTTAAACCATTTTGAGCTGTAGGAACGGGAAGTCCGTGATCAAAATTTCAGAGTAATTGAATTCAGAGTGTGGCGTCAACGATATCAGAGTATATTTTTCTGGTCCCAGAGTACATACCTGAATACAGTTTTTTTACTGAGGTGTTCTTTGAGATACACCCAAAACCACGGTTTGTGCCAGTGCCTTCTTTTAAATTTGCTCTGTAGAGTGGTAAGAACTTGGTTTGAGTGGAGGTTGAAGCCCAAATCACACACTGCTTGTGGATTACCTCTAAGTAAGTTTCGCAGAGAAGCCACTGCTGTTCTGTTGCTGTGGCTTGAGCCGTTAATCGCTTTTCCCCCTTTCAAATCGTCTGGAAACCACCTGGCGCTCTCTCTACAGGTGTCCTGGAGCTTCTCATCGGAGACTTGCCCTGGAGACGAGGAAAACCGGTAAAACGCAGACAGAGGCTGAGAATGAGAATGGACCCGCTAGAATAGACCCTCCAGGTACTTTCTCCCCTGAGACGGACTGTCCAGGGTCGGGCACGGCGCCCGCTGAGCGGAACGTGACACCGGCGTCCCTTCCCGCGTGGACAGAGGAACCTGGCCTGGACAACCCCGCCTTCGAGGAAAATGCAGCTGCTGACAGTATGCGCTGTTCACCTTCCCTTTGTTTTTTGTCTCTTTTCAAATCACACCTGTCCTTCCCTCCCACTCTTCCCTGTTACTTACGCGACAGGTAGTGTTTTCCCCCTTCAGAGAATAATTTTATTGGGGTACAATCCACATACCACATACTCACCCTTCAAGTGTCCAATTCGGACAGTTTGCAGTTCAGAAGCAGAATGGGAAGCCCACCCAAAAGACGTTGTCCTTCCCCGCCCCTCTTCTGCTGGAACCGAGTCACCGGTCGTTACTGTGCTTCTTACCGGTAGTCTGTGGGTTTTAAAGTCTGTCACCTCTTGACTAAGAAATCCACAGCATCGAGAACAACAGAAATAACACCTCAGCTTAAGTGCTTATTCTGCGCCCAGCACCATGCCAAGCACGTTATGCAGATTAACTGATTAACTGTACCATTATTAGGAGATTGGTTTTTTTAATGGTGAGGAAGGAGCCTGAGTCTTGAGAGATGAGTGGGTCCAAGCCCGAGAGCCACACAATGTCCGGGTACGCATGTGCCCCAGAGGCCGGGCTTCTCGCTCCTGCTGTCCTCGGGTGGCAGCCCCTGGTCTGTCACACAGCCCAGCAGGAAATACACAGGAAGCCTGTAGGCCCACATCTCAGGCATATATTGATGGTTGGCCCTGTGTCTTTACTTCTAAGTAGGATTTTCTTTTATGAAAAATTTGAAGTTTGCTACAAATTCAGATTTTCCCTGACACGGTTATGACACATTTTGTCTCTTAATACTCAGGTCAGAACCCTCCCCTTCTCAGAGCTTGACGTGATTACTGTTTTTTTTAAAAAATATGTGCTGCCTCGCATTGTTTACAGTTTCATGGTTCAGACTTTCTCTGAACAATTATTAGAAGACGACAGTGTCTCTATATTTCTTTTTTTTCTTAATATTTTTATTTACTTTGGAGAGAGAAAGAGCGAGAGACAGAGCATGAGAGTGGGGAGGAGCAGAGAGAGAGGGAGACACAGAGTCCAAAGCAGGCTCTGGGCTCTGACCTGGCAGCATAGAGCCCGACACGGGGCTGGAACTCATGAAGTGTGGGATCATGACCTGAGCTGAAGTCAGAGCCACCCTGGCGCCCCTTGTCTGTATATTTCTTTATCAGATCGCCGTGTTGTCCCTAGTGATCTGATACGTAATAGTTATATGTTGATTATTTACTGATCACCTTCCGAAGCGGAAGCATTTTGATCATCTTAACCTGTAGATGTTTTTGATCCTTCTCTTCTTCTTACCCAATGATACTGCCTTGTTATTAATCATCTATTAATAGTATAAGGTGATCGCTTACAGTAGATGATAACTTTACCAGAAGAAAATTCCAAATATAAAACGTTTTTCTTTCCGTCTATTTTTCTCTTTCTCGTTTTTAACTTGGCAGCTACCCAACAGCCACTTAGTTTACCAGAAGGCGAAATTACCACGATTGAAATTCACCGGTCTAATCCTTATATTCAGTTAGGAATTAGCATTGTGGGCGGCAATGAAACCCCACTGATTAACATTGTTATCCAGGAAGTCTACCGGGATGGAATAATAGCGAGAGACGGAAGACTCCTTGCTGGAGACCAGATTCTTCAGGTATCTGTCTTCATTATTTTGTGAACCTGTATCTTTTTGCTCTTACTCGTAAACTTTAAACGTAGAAAACTGTGGTACTGTGGGACGGGCAGTCTGTGAAGGTAAGCTTTCCTGCTTTTCTGTGCACATCAGATCAGTTTGTCGGTCATTTTTCCTATTTCCTCGCACACATGGAATTTTTTTTTTTCCTCCCGGTCTTAAATTTGACCCCGCGTGTGACCCAGTGCTTGTCCTCTTTGGGCCAGTCCCGGCTCGGACTCCGTGCTGGGCTGTTGCAGGGCCAGCGTCACTGCTGACTTTCTCCCGCCCCATCGGCTTTATCCCTGGCCCCGTACACCGCCCGTCGGTTACCTTCCTCGTCTCATTTATCCTTCTCGACACTGACTAGTGTAATCTGGGGAAGACAGACCATGCGGCACTAGCTACTTAGAATTTACACCGTGGAACTTGAGGTAGAAATCAGAAAGGGCCGTCTCGCGTTGGCTCCCAGATGCGCCTTCCTCCTCCACCAACAACCCGACTCTATGCTAGACCTTGATGCTACCTTCTCCCTCTTCTCTTTAAGGAGAAGGAGCTACTCCGACAGAAGATCTAGCTCGGGATGAGATGTACTGATGTGAGAGGGCTTGTTGACACTGAGGGGTCAGCATCCTAGTGCAGGACTGGAGTTTCTGTGCATGTTGGCCTGCATATATGACCCATGCGAGTGTAAATGATACTGGAAGCTAAAAGAACAGATACACAGGAGAGAGAAGAAAGAGTCGTGAACGAGAAACGGTGCCTCTTAGGGACCCGACTCAGTGTCATTGCCGCGTCCTTGGCTGTGCTCGGGCGTGTCCACCCCTTCCTTCGGTTTTCCCTGCCCCCTGCTTCACATCTAATCTAGTAGAATCAGCCCCCCCGACCCCTCACCTGCTCTGAAACCAGGCACGACCGTCGCCGGGTTCACCCATCTGTGTCTCTGCTTTCCTCGGGAAGATTCGACCAGAGGACTGAGTCCAGACTGACTAGTAGGGTCCCCTGTGGTCTCTTACACAACCTGTCCCCTCAGCCTTAACCCTCGCTTTTTCTTCTGAGCAAAGCCATTTATGACTGACATCTTGTAGGCGTGGTGCTTAGTGCCTGGGGATACAGGTAAGAGCAAAAACCAGCTCCTGCCCTCATGGACTTTGTGATCTAGAGGGAAAGCCAGACATACCAGTCTTCTTGCTGCCCTCCAGATAGCTTCTGCCCACATCCTGCCTATCCCCAGGGTGCTGCAGCTTACCCAGCTCCGCCCCGCCAGCTCTCACCCCTCCTTCCTTTGGGTGCTGACAACAGTCCTTGCTTTTCTCTTCACCGCTGAACACATAATTGGTCACAGAAAATTATTTACATGTACTGTCTTTCTATGGGGATTGCAGCCACCTTGATGGGACACATTACGGTACAGATCTCACATAGCGCTGTGCATGTGGTAAGTGCCCAGGAAATGCTTGCTGAATCCATGCAAGAGCAGATTTGGATATAATATCCTGTCAGGAATAGCTAGAACCACTACGAGTTTAGCTCTTGAAAAGAAATGTCCAGATGGGGGAAAAGGACCAAATAGGCTCCCAGAGCAGCGAGGATTGACCTTTCCTGGGGGCGTCTGGCTTCGGTCTCCACTCTCGTCTGTATGCTGCGTCTTGCAGTATATTATTTCCACTTTAACAGCCGGGCCGGCCGGACCTCCCTCCTCCTTTGCCCTTCGCCTGGCTGACATGGACTGAACTTCCAGTGTTTTGTTTTTTTACCAAATCCTAAGAGGAAATAGAATACAGGAAGCATAACTAATCCAGCTTATGAAAAATCCACTTTATGATCCTACCATAGCCAGCTACTTACTGTATTACTGTCCTTGCTGTCATTTTATGGTGTCAGTGCTCTGGTCTGGTCACATGAAGCTGACACAGCTCCGTGGACACCTTACCTGCATTCCCGCCTTCCCGGCTCCAAAGCTGCTGCTCCTTGGAGGAAATCTTGTCGTCAGTTCCCCAGGTGTATTGCCCTTGACATTCTGACACCTTGGTGGCCAAGATCAGAAGAGCCAGACTGCCCTTTCCTGCAGCTTACACAGTGTTCTTTCTCTTTCCTACTTGTGGCCTTTCTAATGTACATTTATTTTTGTGTTTCGTTCTCTGCTACCAGCAATGTGCCGGTATTAACATTTTTATACATTTCTCATTCTTTCTCTGAATTTTAAAGGTAAAAACAATGCTTTGTGTTCATTTGCATTTCTTTGAATATAGTTGAGGTTAAATAGTTTCCAGGTTTCGTTTGCTAATATATTTCATCGGTAGGCTTTTTACCCCGTCTACTTTGGAGATTCGTTTAATAACATAACTGAGTCTCTATACCTCAAATAAAAATCCAATGATCTGAGATTATTGGCTGTAATTTTGGACATTAACTCAAAGCTGTAAATCTGCACTGTAGAAATTACAGTGCATTATAATTGTTTATGGAGGCGTACGTACTAATAACTCTAATAATGGCAATCTTAAATCCAGTTTAGTGAATTCAAATTGATACGTATGTAAGCAATGAATCATGGGAATCTTCCCCCAAAACCAAGAGCACACTCTATACATTGTATGTTAGTCAATTTGATAATTTTACGAAAGAAAGAAAGAAAGAAAGAAAAGGATGAGCACATAACCTTACTAGTGAATTCAGAGTCTCTCCTGTTGAGCCCTGACTTCTCGTTGGCCTTTAACTGGTATGCTTGATTCAGTGAGTAAAGCCACACCACCTCCCCACATATGGAGAAGTATTTACGATCATGATCATTCAAATGTAAACACTTGGAAAGAAGTTTGGGGTTTTTTTTTGTTTGTTTGTTCGTTTGTTTTACTACCTGGTTATCTTCCACTTTGTGTAAGCTGCATAAATAACACAGCATGAGCCAGTTTGAAAATACCTTAGATGGGGCGCCTGGGTAGTTCATTCAGTTAAGTGTCCATCTCACAGTGCATGGGTTCAAACCCCATGACGGGCTCTGCGCTGACAGCTAGTTCAGAGCGTAGAGCCTATTTCATATTCTGTGTCTCCCTCTCTCTCTGACCCTCCCCTGCTCACGCTCTCTCTCTCAGAAATAAATTTTAAAAAAATAAAATAAATCAAAAAGAAAATACCTTAGAGTCATTACAGTGGTCTGTTTCCAGACCAAAGAGCTAGCGAGCCTATGCTTTCAGTTCAGCAAACCATATGCAGTAACAGTGTGTGACTTCCATTTTCCCACACTAACACACACACACACACACACACACATATTCTCTTATTTAGCCTCTTTGAAAAGGAGAACCATATACCTTCAGGGCCATTTGCTGCGCAGAATTTTGAGCAGTTAGGAGAAAACGTACTGTTATAACTTACATCAGTATTACTATTAAAAATAATATACATTGTAGAACATTATTAAGCGTAGGTCTTTTTAGTGTGATTTCAACTGTCCCCGATTTGTCCCATTTTTGGATTTGAAGAAAAACAAGTAGGGTCATGTGTTGACAGCATTTAGCTAAAGATGTGGGAGAGGCTACTATAGTGCTGTTTTTACAGAATCTAGAAACAGCGTTTTATTTGGTCTCTGCTTACTCTGAATTTCACTGGCAGCCACGCATTCATGAGGGAAAGATCTTTTTTCTCACCGTAGGATATTCCACAGCCCACCTCATGAAGCTGGTGTGAGGCTACCTGGAGCTGGGTTCCAGCCAGATGTTTATGAAGTCATTTGTGCTACCTCTGGATTTAAGATGGAAAGAATACATACGTTGAGATAAGTAGCTTTTTAGCTGAATAGCCTGAAACAACGATGTTTGACTAGCCAGTCCACATCAGGCTGGCTTTTTAGAAGCTGCCTTGAAGTTCTGTTCTTGACCCTCAGTGATTCAACTTTTTAATCAAGGATTTGGATGGCTACCAAATGCAGATATTGCAAACTTGGGAGCAAGTCTTTGTGTGATATCTATGATATTTAATGCCTGAGGTTTAAAAGAGATCAGTAGGCCCAGATCAACAAAATTCAAGTTCATGGTGCTCAAAACTGTAAACCCTAGGTGAATAGGAAGCGGGGAGGGCCTTCTTAATAAATTCATGTGGAAAAGATCGAAGGATTTGGGTGGTCACAAGCACCTAATCCAGAGCCCGCCACATAACTGACACTCATAGACGTCGATTTCCCCCTGCGGTTTTCTTGGATAGATAAAGAGAGGAATTCTAACTGTGATAATTATCGATAGTGCCAACCCCTTCCTCTGACTTGGTGAATCACTGAAGCTGAGTATATTTTCTTTGTGATGTTACATGTCCAGTGATTCACTATACTCATTGCAAGATCATAAAGTCTAATAAATAAATAAACGTCCTATGAGCACTGAGTTATGTACGTTGTGTTCGATACTACACTTGCGTGCTAAAGACTTAGAGTGAAACTACAATTGGCCTGCTCTTCTCTAAAGTAGAAATCACGGCTCTGAAATAGGCGTGTGTACCTAGAATGTGTCACTTTCCTTAAAATAATGCTTGGTTTATTTTGGATAGCTTACATGTATTTCGTTTGGAAATGCAAATTCAGTCCAGTAAAGCTTCAGTCTCTGTTCCACTAGCGTAGCCTTATTTCATCAGCGCTTGCCGTGTGCCGCTGCTCTCTGTGCCTCACCCTCCACCCTGATCCCGTGAAGTAGACAGTGAACACAGCTCACTGATGAGGACACACACTCAGACAAGTTCTGTAATTCGCCTGAGGGCATTCAGCGAGTATGTGGCAGAACCAAGGACTCTAAATCAAGACTGTCATTGAAGCCCATGTTCCCAACTCCTGTTCTCTACTTAGTGCTAGTCATTCTAAGTTAAGTTTAGGAACTGTGTATTTTTTTTTTTTTTTTAATGTTTGCTTATTTTTGAGAGAGGGGGAGACAGAGAATCCCAAGCAGGCTCCAGGCTGTCAGCCCAGAGCCCGCCAAGGGGCTAGAACTCACAAACCTGTGAGATCGTGACCTGAGCCCATCAAGAGTCAGACGCTTACCTGACCGAGCCACCCAGGCGCACCAGGAACTGTATTTTAAAACATCCTTAGGGATGCCTTCCTTTGTACACAGTGACCACATGTCATCTTCACAAAGTTAGTTTCTTTGGGAAGCGGTACGTGAACCTTTGTACAAGTTGAGAAGAGAGAAGATGGTCACACGGTAGTCACCACTCTTTCTTCCAGGTCAACAACTGCAATATCAGCAATGTGTCCCACAACTACGCCAGGGCAGTCCTCTCCCAGCCCTGTAGCACGCTGCACCTCACCGTGCTGCGCGAGAGGCGCTTTGGGAACCGGACTCACGGCCACGTGGACGGCACCTGTCCCCGGGAAGAGATCTTCCACGTGGTCCTTCACAAGCGGGACTCTGGGGAGCAGCTGGGCATCAAGCTCGTACGGAGGACGGACGAGCCAGGCGTTTTCATCCTTGACCTGTTGGAGGGGGGTCTGGCTGCGCAGGACGGACGGCTGAGCAGTAACGACCGAGTGCTTGCCATCAACAGCCATGACCTGAAGCACGGGACACCCGAGCTCGCCGCCCAGATCATTCAGGTACGCGTCCAACGTTCGTTCCGGTTGCTTACCTCTTGTTGCCCTGAGTCAGTGTTTGTGTCCAGAGCATGGGAACCCAGGGGACATTTGCTGTTTTGCGGGGACATCAAGCACGGTTCCCCAAATGCTTCAGAATGCACAAGAGGTTAACTTCCTCAGCAATAGAGCCCTTTCTGGTAAACTATATCCCAATGAACGTTTAGCCTGGCTCGCTATATAGAGTGGAGGCTCCACCATTTCACATGGGTTTCTCGTTTGCTCCCTGGGCTCCACCCAGTCCTAGGCATAAAACATGTGAAGGTGTCCACATTTAACAGCGGAGAAAAGTCAAGCTGGAAGGAGCTATGATTCTAAGATTGTGACTTACATGCCCTCCCAGCTCCCCCTCCATGCTTCAGGCTCCATACAGATGGGGGGAGGGGATGGAATAATTTCTTATTAAGAATAATGGGGTGCCTGGGTGGCTCAGTCCATTAAGCATCTGACTTCAGCTCAGGTCATAATCTCACAGTTCGTGGGTTCAAGCCCTGTGTCAGGCTCTGTGCTGATAGCTCAGAGCCCGGAGCCTGCTTGGGATTCTGTGTCTTCCTCTCTCTCTGTCCCTCCCCCACTCGCACTCTGTCTCTCGCTCTCTCTTAGAAACAAATAAACATTTAAAAATTAAAAAAAAAAAAAAGAAGGAAGTTAAAATCACCATTCAATCCAAAGACCCCAAGGTAGCAACATTAGTATTTTAGAGAACACCATTGCAAACATTGTTATGTATATGTTCGCAGATAAGTCAAACATTTTTTTTTTTTTTTATTTTTTTTTTTTAAATTTTTTTTTTTTTTTTTTTTAATGTTTTATTTATTTCTAGGAGAGAGAGAGAGACAGCGTGAGCAGGGGAGAGTCAGAGAGAGAGGGAGTCACAGACTGAAAAAGGCTCCAGGCTCTGAGCTGACAGTCAGCACAGAGCCCGACGCGGGGCTCGAACCCACGAACCGCGAGATCATGACCCAAGCGAAAGTCGGACGCTTAACCGACTAAGCCACCCAGGCGCCCCAAGTCAAACATTTTAAAGAGATACTTAGCTATGCACTCATCTTGCAAATTGAGTGTGCAGCCCTTTATGTCAGCAGTATGTTGCAGACTTCTTACCCTGAAAATAGATTCCTCATCACATAGCTGTGTAGTAAGCATGTTGCATTAAAACTTATTTAATCATCCCCATTAAAAGACTTCGAGGTTTTATTCTCAAGGTTAAGAGATTTTGCTAAACTTCCCTCTAGAAAGACTGTACTGATACCTGCTCCCTGCGGTAGGCCTGCCTCTTTGTGAATTATAGGCATTGTCATTTCTACGTCCTGCATTTTTTTTTTAATATTTTTATTTATTTTTAGGAGAGAGAGAGACAGCATGAGCAGGGGAGGGTCAGAGAGAGAGGGAGTCACAGACTGAAACAGGCTCCAGGCTCTGAGCTGACAGTCAGCACAGAGCCCAATGCGGGGCTCGAGCCCACAGACCGAGAGATCATGACCTAAGCGAAAGTCGGATGCCCAACCGACTAAGCCACCCAGGCGCCCCCGTCCTGCATTTTTAAAACTCTAGACTTGCACAGAACTCTTCTGCTGTGTTTGAAACCATGAGGTATTAGATGTACAGTCTATTCAAAATTAATCTAAATCTAAATGTAGGTCCATCGTTTAAAGCCTAGATGCCCACTTATGTTACACCCCCAGAATGTGGTCTTTCAGGCAGTCAGGAAGGATCAGGGATTTGTTTCTGTTAATGGGTCCGCATCAACAGGGGTATTCTAGTAAAGGTGAAATACCGATTGTAGGGTGTTTGGTTACACAGTACAGAAGACAATTCTGTATGTTGAAATGAAATCACCAAGGGGCTTTTCCCTCTAAACACCATATGATCGAATCACCTGAAGTGTCAGGATCTTAAACATCGGGATTTGAAACATCCTACTTTGGCATTGTCCTTTAGATCAAGCCCCCAGACTCTGGCCAGCTGTGCAAGTTATTCTTTCAGTTCTTTGGAAGAACTCGTCTGAAACTGTTTAGTTTACTGAGATGCTTGAATAAGCAAGTGATTTTCAGTAGGGCCTTAAGATTGGTTATCACTCACTTTCGAACTTAATAACTGAAAATGGGTTGACTTCTGAACATTATTGACTATTATCGTGGTGGTGGGGGGACCCCCCTTTCCACCGCAGCCCCTTGAAAGCAGGCTGTCAAATTTTCCCACGGGAATCATAGTGAACTTGGGAACTTGTGTTCGTGACCAAGAATCAGCATCACTTAGCTCAGGCCTGTACATTTAAAGGCAAAGATAAAGTAGCTTTAAAAAATATAATAGACGTGAATCTGTGTTTAAAGTATATGTATATAAATATAAATCATGGACCTCTAAATTCAAGGTGATGGTCATGAACCTCTAAAATAATTTAGTGTCACATTTAAATGCATGTGTGGGGACATAAATGTGTGTGTATGATGCAGTATGTGTGTGTGTGGCCCAGTATGCAACGTATGTAAACACTGTAAATACTATGAATAATACACAGTGTATGTAAGTACTAATCTCGTTTTACAGGATCTTTGTTAACTCTTTGCAGAACTGTTTGAACTGATGTGTTGTTTTTGACTCAGATCTGCAGCGAGCAGAAACAAAGCTGTGCATAGCTTCATCGATCATTAACTCTCAAAGTAGCCCCCATGCAATTTATTTCTCAAGTCGCAATGCCTTCTGATTCGGTTTTGAATCCGTTCTTCCTTGTATTTTCTCTCCTTTGTGCCCTCCCTCTCAATGCCAAGGCCAATCTCGAAGGGGAAAGAAGTATGTAAAGAAAAGGACCCTTCAAGAAATCCTGGGGAGATGAGAACACAGGCAGCTTGCTTGCTTTGCCTTGGTAATTTCCTTGGCGTTTCTGGGGCTGGGGAGGTCCTGCCGGAGAGGTGCGCCGGTGGGTGTTTTCACTGCAGAAGTCTTCATTTATTAGTTCCTGAGATGAATCCCCTTCCTCCCTCCCAGCAGGTGCCTGCAGTCACCCCTCGGGTGAGGTACAGTGACGACGATGGGTGCCTTGAAAGTTACGCTGCCTACGGTGTTTCAAACGCGAGGCATCGTTAATGACTGCTGGTTATGTATGTGTGTTTTCTCCAGGCTAGCGGAGAGAGGGTGGACTTAACGATTGCCAGAGTGGGGAAATCCCAGCCCGGGAACCCTGTCCGAGACCCAGGAGCTCAGAGTAGCAGCCAGCCTCACGTACAGCCTCTGTATCACAACAGGCCCAGCTCACATAAGGTGAGGCATTGTGTTTGTGTGTTTTCAACCACCTGCCCTCAAGGGATCATGGGCGCAAGCTGGTAAACTCTAAATGAGGCCTGTTCTTCAGTCGGAAAAGGTGAACCCAGGCGTTTGGGATGTGAAATGTGTGTGCAGCCACTCTGTAGTCTGTTCCTCAGCCAGTCGAGATGGACTCTTAGTAAGAAGGTGAGAATTAGATTGGTGAGAATTAGATCTTCTAGAACAATTTCTATTTGCTTGGTCCTGCCTGCAAGTGTGAGTTGTCTTGGTTTGCTCATTCAAATTTAATAGTTGACTATGTGGTTGAAAAAGCGTAATGAAGACCATGATCGACAGGTTGACACTTAGCCACTGGGCCAACAATGGAATTAGGTGCATGAATATTAAACATAAATGCCACATTCTGAGAGGCACGTGCATAGCACGTTTCTTCCTATGTTACAGCTTCTAGGAATATCACCGAAATTATTTTAAATTCCCCTATGTTGAGCTTTCCGCTTCAGCTTCAGTATTTTGCTGGATTTATAATCTGCTCCTAGGTCATTGATTGTGCTGAAGAATTTCAGGACTGTCTCATGTTAGTTGTAGGAATAAAACAGCGATACTTCCTTGCATTCTCAGTTTTATTTACCTCATTCGATCTTTCATTTGACCTCAACTTCCGGTAGGCCAGAATTTTAAAAACAATGATGTTTTTCAACCGTGTGAAAATAGCACATAGGAAACTTCCCCTAGTTTTTTTTGTTTTTTTTTTAATATTTTTATTTATTTCTAGAAGAGAGAGAGAGAGACAGCATGAGCAGGGGAGGGTCAGAGAGAGAGGAAGACACAGACTCTGAAATAGGCTCCAGGCTCTGAGCTGGCAGTCAGCACAGAGCCCGACGCGGGGCTGGAACCCACGAACCGCGAGATCATGACCTGAGCAAAAGTCGGACGCTTAACCAACTAAGCCACCCAGGCGCCCCCTCTAGTTTTTAAGCAGACCAATAAATAAGTTTTTATTTACTAGGGTGGTTTAATTTTCCTTAAGGAGAATGACCTTGGAAGCTCAGAGTTAGCTTAAGCAGCCCCTTCACGTAAGTACCATTTGAGAGGGTCCCTCTGGAATGTCACTGGTGCCCCAAGAAAGCACCCACTTAAAGGCACGAGTATTTTTGGCCCATCAGGTTCATCTGGTTCTCGGAGCCGAAGTACAGACCTGTCACTGGTCTTTGGTTCAGTTAATACCTATAAGAAATTATAACCACAGACTTGTTCTCATTTCTGAACAGAAAACGAGATGTGTGAAGGAAACCTCTAATAGGAATTTGAAAAGGAATTGTTCATATAGCTGATCCTTGCTTTATAAATTATTATTTTTTTTCTTTTAACTCTGCTCATTCTTAGTCTTTAATTTTATGCGGCTGCGTTTTAAATAGTAACACTGAATTCATTTTTACTCTGGGTCCCTCACACAGCTGCTTGGTGGGAACAACCCTGTGAAGTATCCTTTCAAGCATTAATTTAGCTCAAACACAAGCATTTGTGATGTCAAATCCTGATTTAGAAAAACAAAGGTCTCCTAGGGACACAGACACAAATTCATCAAAACAACCTGTTCAGCGGATAATCATTGTTAAAAATTAAAGTGCACGCTAGTCTGCATAGCTGCTTGAATAAACATTCATATGGTGTTAAGCCCCTCCGAAGTTTCATGAAGGATACCAAGTATAATCTGGGAAATTTGCCTAAAATGCATACATCTCAGCGACCTAGAGGAATAAAACAGCCACCATTAATTGATTGAATCCCTGACGGCCAAAACTTCTCACGTCGATGTACTCGAGGCTGAGTTTATGGGACTTGTCTCCATAATGAATGGCTCTTGCCCAGTTTGGAAGGATGCTGACGGAGATTTCACAGGATAGGATACCACCGTTAGACATTTACAGGTTTTCTACGAGGTCACAAAGTCCTAGGAACATTCAGCTGTGACTACAAGTAGTTCCCTTAATAAAATTTCAAGAGTGGATTCCAGGACAAGAGACCTGGAGTTCCAAGGCTTGACTAACCAACGTGTACCTGTCAGCCGTAAAGAAGTACCACTAAAGGAAATGTCACAGTTCTGTAACTAGAATTCATATAGATCTATCATTGATATTGTTAATCATGTTAACAGTTATCTTGTTATTACAGTTTCTCTTATAGTCGATAACGTGTTAGGGATCTTTTGAGGCATTAGCTTCCAATATTACACTCGATAGGGTAGTACCCTTGTACTGTGGGCGCATATCATCAATATACACGCGCTTGCATCAGTTCAAATCCCAGTGCAGCCACTTACACTGTCTAATTTGAGGCAAGTTACCTGACCTCTCTCAGTTTGTTCCCTCATCTGTAAAATGGGGCCAACAGTTGGGGCACCTGGGTGGCTCAGTCGGTTGAGCCACCGACTTCGGCTCAGGTCACAATCTCGTGGTTTGTGAGTTCGAGCCCTGTGTCAGGTCTGTGCTGACAGCTCAGAGCCTGGAGCCTGCTTTGGATTCTGTGTCTCCATCTCTCTCTGCCCCTCCCCTGCTCATGCTCTGTCTCTCTCTCTGTCAATAATAAATAAACGTTAAAAAAAAGATACTAAGTGTTTAAAACAGAAATGAGGCCAACAGTAGTATTTATGTTCAAGATCATTGTGAAGATTAAAATGAAATAATGGTTGTAAAGCCGTTAGTTTTACACGTTGTAAATCTTCAGTAAGTGTTAGTTACTATGGCTGTTTTAATATCAGTATTGCATATGTACATCTTGTTTTTTACTGAGTTCTAATTCAAAAGAGAAGTGATGTTTTAAATTCTGCCTTTCTTCTAGAAGTGACCCAGTAATAAGTAGCAGTAATAAATGTCACTAAAACTTGCCTTTTTGAGAACATAGTTTGCTGGGAATATATTTCTCTTCAATAGCTTTTTCAAACATTCAGTTATTTCATATCCTTTCAGCATATCTTTTTAGCTTTTCATGAAAGTTTTGAAGATCAATTTGCACCTGCTTCCCGATTGAGCATTCTCAGAATCCTATGAGTAAGAATCAGAAGATAGGTCGGTAGCTCTCTTCTGGCAGTGAACAAAGTCCACACTTTCCTGTCGACTACTCTGTCTACTTTTCTTTCAAAGAATACAGGAGAGAGATGGAAATAAAATGAATCGGGTTGTCTTCAGAATCTTAAAACTCAAATGTGTTTATTTACTTTTATAGAACTGACCATATCCTGGAGCCCAAGATAACCATACAGATGATGTGCTTATTTTACTTTGACTTCCGTATGCCCCAGTCCCGCGTGTATTCCGTCCCAGAAACAATCGTACGAAAACGCAGCAGTCCAGAGTGCGACATTGGGGCCCTGGCATTCAGTGTTGTGTTTGTACCATGAAGAGCTGTATATTACTTCTATAACAAGTGGTTTTAATTTTATTAATGTTTTATTTATTTCTGAGAGAGAGAGAGTGAGACAGCGTGAGCAGGGGAGGGTCAGAGAGAGAGGGAGACACAGAATCTGAAGCAGGCTCCAGGCTCTGAGTTAGCTGTCAGCACAGAGCCCGACGCGGGGCTCGAACCCACGAACCATGAGATCATGACCTGAGCCAAAGTCGGACGCTCAACCAACGGAGCCACCCAGGCGCCCCAGCAAGTGATTTTAAAAATGACTTTATAACTGCCACAGAATGTTTTCCTTTAGTTTAAGCTGTTTTTTCTTCAGCTATCTATTCGTGTTTTTTTTTTTTTTAATGTTTTAATTAATTGAGAGAGAGAGAGAGACAGCGTGAGCAGGGGAGGGTCAGAGAGAGAGAGGGAGTCACAGACTCTGAAATAGGCTCCAGGCTCCGAGCTGGCAGTCAGCACAGAGCCCGATGCGGGGCTCGAACCCATGAACTGCGAGATCATGACCTAAGCGAAAGTCGGACGCTTAACCGACTAAGCCACCCAGGCGCCCCTATTATTTGTTATCCAATAAACTTTTCTCTCGTGTTTTAGGATCTGACCCAGTGTGTGACGTGCCAAGAGAAACACATTACGGTGAAGAAGGAGCCACATGAATCCCTTGGGATGACGGTAGCTGGGGGCAGAGGCAGTAAGAGTGGCGAGCTGCCCATCTTCGTGACCAGCGTGCCCCCTCACGGCTGCCTGGCACGCGACGGCCGCATCAAGAGAGGTAAGAAGGGCTCTCAGACAGCTTCACTAAGCTTCTCCCTGAATTCAACGCATGTTTTAAAAAGTAACAAATATCTACAGTATTCCCCATTAAAGGTGGCCTTTTTTATTCCTTGGGTATGTCCTTTCCATATGGAAGGACAAAGCCTCTCTTATTATCAGGTTAGAAAAATGCCTGATGTAAAGGAAAATTGCTGAAGTTCGATGATGTTTCCATTATTTTCTAGCAGTCACTCAGTTGGGTTATTTTATGTTGGAAAAGACCCTCTAAAAGATTTAACGGTCCTCACGTGATGGCAGATTGGATACCCTGAAGGACTGTCTTGCTAAAATAACAAATATTGCTTATATAGTAAAGTACCTATGTGGGAGGGGTGTCATGGAGGAGGTGAAGTGGAAAACAGTGTTAATAAAAAGGCATAGTTTTAGGGATTCATTGGTTTATCATTTCACACTCCCTACCCCACCTTCCATCAGTAACATAGCAGTAGGGGTGGTAAAAATAGCATTCTTCACACACTTGGTTTGTTCATTTGGGAAAGTATTTTCCTTCCTAGGTATTTTTCCAAGAGTGAAGTCGGAACCCTACCTCACACCATATATAAAAATTAACTTAGAGCAGACCCAAAACCTAAAAGTAAGAACTAAGACTTTTAGAAGAAAACGCAGAGCATAAATCTTTTTTTTTTTTTTTTTTTTTTTACAAATAGTTTATTGTCAACTTGGTTTCCATATAACACCCAGTGCTCATCCCCACAAGTGCCCCCCTCCCTGTCCATCCCCCCTCCCCCCCACATCCATCAGTCCTCAGTTTGTTCTCAGCATTCAAGAGTCTCTCATGGTTTGCCTCTCTCCCTTTCCCCCACCATTTCCCCCCTTCTTCTCCCCCATGGTCCTCCGTTAAGTCCTCCTAATCCTCCTATACGTGCAAACATGATATTTGTCATTCTCTGCCTGACTTATTTCACTCAGCATAACACCCTCAAGGTCCATCCACGTTGCTACACGTGGCCAGATTTCATTCTTTCTCATTGCCATGTAGTATTCCATGGTATAGATAAACCACATCTTCTTGATCCATTTGTCTGTTGATGGACACTTAGGTTCTTTCCATGTTTTGGCTATTGTTGAGAGTGTTGCTGTGAACATTCGGGTACATGTGCTCCTATGCATCAGCATTTCTGTATTCCTTGGGTAAATTCCTAGCAGTGCTATTGCTGGGTCATAGGGGAGTTCTGTTGTTAATTTTTTGAGGAACCTCCACACTGTTTTCAGAGGGGCTGTACCAGTTTACATTCCCACCAACAGTGTAGGAGGGTGCCCGTTTCTCCACATCCTCGCCAGCATCTAGAGTTCTCTGATTTGCTCATTTTAGCCACTCTGACTGGCGTGAGGTGGTATCTTAGTGTGGTTTTGATTTGTATTTCCCTGATGAGGGATGCTGAGCATCGTTTCATGTGTCTGTTGGCCATCTGGATGTCCTCTTTGGAGAAGTGTCTGTTCATATCTTCTGCCCATTTCTTTACTGGGTTGTTTGTTTTTCATCATAAATCTTAATGACCTTGGATTAAGTAATGGATTAGTCAGTGGTTTTCTTAGATGTGACAACAAAACACCAGCAACATAATAAAAATAGATAAACAGAATTTCATCAAAATTACGCATTTTTATGCTGCCAGGGATGCCACCAAGAAAGCAAAAAGAGAGTGAAAGTGAAATCCACAGAATGGAAGAATATATTTGTGAATCGTGTATATGACAGAGGACTCCTGTCTAGAATATACAAGAAAATATACAGAGAGCCAAAAATCACATGAAAAGATACTCAGTGTCAGTTCATATTAGGAAAACGCACATCAAAACCACTTTGTACCCAGTAGGGTGAATATAGTAGAAAAGACAGATGATAACAAATATTGGCAAAGATGTGGAGAAACTGAAATTCTCAGGCATTGCCAGTGGGAATGTTTTGGAAAACAGTTTAGCAGCTCCTCAAAGTTAAAAACGGGTACCACATGACCCAGCAATTCCATTCCTGTAGAGATGAAAACATACTTCCCACACAAGAATTTGTACATAAAGGTCCAAAGCAGTATTTTTCATACTAGTCAAAAAGTAGAAACAACTCAAATGAATGCCAACCATTGGATGGATTAACAGAATGTGGTATGTCCATGCAGTGGATGTTATTTGGCCGTACAAAGGAATGCAGTATTGACACGAGCTAGTCATGGATGAACCTGGAAAACATTATGCTAAGTGAAAGAAGCACAAAATACCTCGTATGGTTGCATTTGTATGAAATGTACAGAATAGGCAAATCTGTAGAGAGAGAGTGGTTACTCAGTGCTGGGAAGTGATTTCTCATGAATACGGGGTTCTTGGGAGAGGGATCTAAAAATAATGTGTGCTGGCTACCCAACAATGTGATTATGCTAAAAACCATAAAACTATATACTTGAAAATGGGTGAAATGAGTGGTATGTGAATTATACCTTAATAAGGCGGCTGTTGTTTTTGAAAGAATGTTATTTGCCCAATTGTGGACTTTGGGGTAATTTTATTTCCTTCTGGTTATTTTATTATGTTTTCTAAGTTTTCTACATTAAGAATGTTTTGCTTTGGGGCCCCTGGGTGACTCAGTCAGTTAGTCATCCAGCTTCGGCTCAGGTCATGATCTCATGGTTCGTGGGTTCGAGCCCCGCGTCAGGCTCTGTGCTGACAGCTCAGAGCCTGGAGCCTGCTTCAGACTCTGTGTCTCCCTCTCTCTCTGCCCCTCCCCTGCTCGGACTCTGCCTCTCTCTCTCAAAAATAAATAAAACATTTAAAAAATGTTTTTAAAAAGAATGTTTTGCTTGAATAATCTGAAAAATATGTGATGAGTTGGGAGACAAAGATTTTCCATAGGCTTTCTTTATACCTACAAAACTAATTTTTTCCTTCCTCACCTTTGCCCTTTATTTATTATATTATTTGTCAGGGTAACAGATACTTTTTTTTCTTTCTTCAAGCAAGAGAAGGTGTGCAAATCACAAGTTTCATTTCTTTTGTAGGCCCCAGGATATCTTCTCTTTACATATTCTGATATGTGCACACCGAGCAAACTGCGTAGGGCTATCTTTATTATAAAACTGTGTGACTATAAAATAGAATATGTTAAAAATTCATTTCTAACAGCAAAGGATCAAATAATTTTTGGTTAGAAAAGAACTCTATAAATCACTGAATCTCAAAGAAGAGAAAGGAGTGTGCCCAGGGCCTGCCCCTAGCCAAACTTGGCCTAATGATTTGGACTTCCAGTCGAATCACAGTGCCTCGAGCCACACTTTTCCGTGTGTATTATGAAATCTTAACATTTTGGGTTATTCTGGAATGTTCTCCATGAATTAGATTTTTCCTCAGGATCGTAAAACAAGTAAGAAAGTGGTCTTTTACCTTATGTGAGCTAACTGGAACTCACCTTTGTTGGTTAATTTACAAATAAGAGGCTGTCCAGGGAGGTAATCACTCGGTAGCACGTCCCATTTTTCTTGTTTCTTCATCTGAACAGGCGACGTGTTGCTGAATATCAATGGCATCGATCTGACCAATCTGAGTCACAGTGAGGCTGTGGCCATGCTGAAAGCCAGTGCTGCGTCCCCCGCTGTTGTCCTGAAAGCCCTTGAGGTCCAGGTTGTGGAGGACGCCACGCAGGCCACGGAAGAGCAGCCGAGCGCCTTCAGCGAGAACGAGTATGACGCCAGTTGGTCCCCGTCGTGGGTCATGTGGCTCGGGCTTCCAAGGTATGGGCCGCCTTTGACTCCTGAGGACTAATCAGACCTACAGCCATTCTCCCTGTGTAACACCGTAAATTCACTCATCCAGGGCCAGAGAGGCTCTCTCCGATAAAAGTGGCAATAGCAGATCAAGTGACAACAGAAAATGGCATTTTTTCTTAGGTTATTATATTCTAAAAGGTAAATTTAACAAGAAGAATGAGGCTAGAAAGACTTAATATATCTATCTATAAAAATGAATTTGGGCGCCTGGGTGGCTCAGTCGGTTAAGGTCCGACTCTTGGTTTCAGCTCAGATCATAATCTCACGGTTCGTGAGTTCGAGCCCCGTGTTGGGCTCTGTACTGTCAGCTCAGAGCCTGGAGCCTGTTTCAGATTCTGTCTTCCTCTCTCTCTGCCCCTCCCCCCTTGCGCTCTGTCTCTTTCTCTCTCAAAAATAAATAAATACATCTATACAAATAAAAATGAATAGGGGCACCTAGGTGGCTCAGTTGGCTGAGTGTCTGACTCTTGATTTCAGCTCAAGTCATGATCTCATGCTTCATGGTCAGGCTCTGTGCTGACAGCATGGAGCCTGCTTGGGATTCTCTCTCTCCCATTCTCTGTGCCCCAACCCCGCTTATGCGTACTATCCTTCTTTCTCTCTCTCTTTCTCAAAGTAAATAAACCTTTTTAAAAAATGAATAAAGCCATCTGTCCATTCCTGTTAGGGTTCATAAGTGGGTGAGCCATGAGATTTGGATGTTCAGTCTCTTGCTTTAGAAAAGCTGTCATTTGGGGCGCCTGGTTAAGCGTCCAGCTTCGGTTCAGATCATGATCTCACAGTTCATGAGTTCGAGCCCCACGTCGGGCTCTGTGCTGACTACTCAGAGCCTGGAGCCTGCTTCCGATTCTGTGTCTCCCTCTCTCTACCCCTCCCCTGCTCACACTCTGTGTGTCCCTCTCTCTCAAAAATAAAGAAACACTGAAAAAGAAAGAAAGAAAAGCTGTCAAAAACCACCATGCATTCTGATACATGCTTAGACTGCATGTGCATTTTTCACTAGGAAAACCAGGTCAAAGTGTGGGGCCTTTGTCTCTTCCAGAAGCTTTTCTAAAATCCCTTTCTTAATCCTTTCAACTCCCTAAAAAGTCAGGAGGTGAAATGCAGTTTTTACGGGACAGAAGAGTCTGTAAGCCACCCCGCTGGTGTTCAGGACTGAGAGCGCCTCACCGCCTCAGTGACGAGTTCGCCGCCTCCTGATTGTTGCCAGCCAGGATCTGCACGCCCTCTTGGTGACGCCCGTCTCCTTGGGCATTGAGAGCGGAAGGGTTGTATTACTGTGTTTGTTTCCAGATCACTGTAGATTCTTAATGTCCAGAAGAACCCTAAAACTCAACTCCGACGACATATTTGGACTCTGGGCCAAGTATGAAAATGACTACTTTTTTTAAAAATAAAAATCAGCACTGGGAATGCCGGTTTCTGAGCCACCTAGCTCCATGTGGGTTAAATTTTTAATAACTAGCATTTTATAGTGCTGTATGATTTATTTAAAAAAAAAAAACAAAAGTACTTTCACATAAAGAAAACCAGCAAGCACACAGATGATTGGAACTTATCTGTCAGTGATCTGACTTACTGACTTGTCCTCTTGGTTGAAAAAGAGTAAAAAGGCCTCCAGCTACTAGAACTCACGTCCCTGGGACCCGTAGGAATAGACTGGAATGGTCACGGTTACACGGCAGGCATGCTCTCTCAGTGGTGAGGCTTCAGCCACAAGAGGGAAGCTCGTTCCTCTTGTGAAATAGTCAGCCCAGTACATTGACCTGAATCCTAGAAAGTCAGGAAGGCCCCCTCACACACCAGCGGGTGGGCAGGGGTCTTCTCCTGCGCTGCGGTGACCCAGCAGGCACACCCCCACGGGTGGACGGGCGGGGACCGCACCCCTGCATAGCCACTCGAGCTGCCCCAGTGCCCCTCCCAGTGTTTCTCATCTGTTTCCCCCTCCTCGTTCTGGGGTCCGCGCTTCGCCCATTGTGTCCCCAGCATCTTCTGGCGTCCCAGGAGGGGTAATGAATGTTCCAGATGAAAAATGCACGGGACAGTAAAGTCTATTTTGGGCTCCACCTGTATCCAGTATCAAGAGTATCTATCAGGAAAAGGTCACTGTTCTGTGGAGTCTTGGAGGGGGCGTCTCTGTTGTGTGCAAACCTGTACTCACAAGCACGTGTCAGAAGGGCCACTTACTCTGGGCACAGGCGTAAGCAGCTTTGCTGCTTCTTGCATGGCTCTGTGCTAGAGGCGCACCAGACGTCTGCATACCAGACAGCACAGCCCTTTGTTTCGCGTTGTTGTGATCATTTTGTGCAGAAGATTCAGAAAAATGAAAGTAACTAACCCACATTCCTCCTAAACTACCAGGCCAGTGCATGGGGACCCTGCTCGCTTTCAGAAGCCTTTTCATTTTTTTTAAATGTTTTATTTATTTCTGAGAGGGAGAGAGAGAGGCAGCATGAGCAGGGGAGGGTCAGAGAGAGAGATACAGAATCTGAAACAGGTTTCAGCTAGCTGTCAGGACAGAGCCCGATGTGGGGCTCGAACCCACGAACCGTGAGATCGTGACCTGAGCCGAAGTCGGACACTTAACCAACTGAGCCACCCAGGCGCCCCTCAGAAGCCTTTTCAAAAGCCCTTTCTTAATGGTGAGCTAAGAAACAAGACCAGATTAAAAGTTGTGGCATTTCATAGATCACATACAGAATTAGTTTTATTAAGAAATCTTTTTAATAGATTAAAACCAGGAAGCCTTGCTTTAGAGGACTTTATATCCAATTTCATCTAAAAAGGAAACATACTTGTTTCCTTTTTTAAAAATATTTTTAATGTTTATTTATTTTTGAGAGAGCGAGAGAGTGTGAGCAGGGGAGGATCAGAGAGAGACGGAGAGACAGAATCTGAAGCAGGCTCCAGGCTCTGAGCCTGAAGTGGGGCCTGAACTCAAACCGGGAGATCACGACCTGAGCCAAAGTTGGACACTTAACCGACTGAGCCACCTGGTGCCCCAAGATATTTGTTTCTTAAAGAGAGATTTTTTTTTCCTGTATCTTTTAGATGGAGTTTTTTTCCATTTTTAAGTTTTTATTCACTGCTTGTTCCCAGATCCATAGAACTCTGAAGTGTTGTATCCTCCAAACATTTTTTTTTAATGTTTTATTTATATCTAGGAGAGAGAGAGAGAGTGTGTGAGCAGGGGAGGGTCAGAGAGAGGGAGTCACAGACTGAAACAGGCTCCAGGCTCTGAGCTGGCAGTCAGCACAGAGCCTGACGCGGGGCTCAAACCCACGAACCGCGAGATTATGACCTAAGCGAAAGTCGGACGCTCAACCGACTAAGCCACCCAGGTGCCCCGTATCCTCCAAACATTTTAACTGGAGCATCTCAGTGTCCCTAGTTTTAAAAAAGGGGGGGGGGTGGAGATGTTTTTGGTTGTTTTTTCCCTATTTTGAGTACCCTATTTTGTCAGAGTCTCCCTTAAAATGCATTTTAAATGAAGGAGGAAAGAACAACAAATAATTCCTTGCATAGATTAAAAAGAGAGACTTTTCTACGTTTTTTGGGAAGCTGCACCATACTGCCTTTCATTAGAGTGCTGAGGTCAGGGTTACCAGACCCCTTCTGTGCCACTTTTTTATAGATACAAATTTTGTAGATACAGGTGGATGTCAGAACCGAGGACACTGTTGACAGTGCAGTGAGCAAACGTAGGCACAGAACAACTTTATACAAATGTCTGCAGTGCAACTTGTAACCAGGTGTGTTTCGCTGTGCGTGTGTGCGTGTATGTGCGTGTGGGTGTGTGTGGTGTCTTCACGGGAAAAAACAAGACTGAAGAAAGTGGGAGAAACTGCAATCCACCGAGAACTGCGTCTGTGCCAGAAAATGGGCTGTCGGCACAATGTGTTTGGAAGGAAATCAAGGATGATTGGAATTCATCTGTCAATGATTGGACGTCATTTGTCAGTTTGCCCTTTTCCCTTCCCCGGCAGTGATGGTGTAACTCGGTATGGAGTTAACGGCAGAGGCGAACAGGGTATTAAAGCCTCCGCATTAATTTTTTCTTGATCTTTGTGTTTACTGTAGCTCCCTTCATAGCTGCCACGACATCGTTTTACGAAGAAGCTACTTGGGAAGTTGGGGCTTTAGTATTGTTGGTGGATATGAAGAGAACCACACCAATCAGCCTTTCTTCATTAAAACCATTGTGTTGGGAACTCCTGCTTATTATGATGGAAGATTGAAGTGAGTCTTAATTATATGTGATAACGTGATTCATGCTTATTGTATGGACGCCATCTTGACCAGGGGTCAACTCCACACCCGGCCTGTGCTCTGTTCTCGTAAATAAGGTTTTGCCAGAACGTGGCTGCGTTCGTTTGTTTTCCCATCCTCCATGGCTGCCTCTGAGCCACCGTGGTGGTGTTGAGTTGTCGTGACGGAGACCGTGTGGTTCACAAAGACTAAAATATTTGTTGACTAACCGGCCCTTTATGGAAACAGTTTGCCAGACCATCTCTAGACTGAAGCATCACTTTACCATCTTGCCTCTGATTGCTGTTTTGTTAACGTAATGCCAGGAACCCAACCCTAGTCGTCTGATGAGACAGACTGATAGGGCAGCTAGCACCGAGCCGTCACTCCACACCTGCCCCTTAGGTCCAGTCCTGTCATTAGATGACTCTGCTCTGTGTTCCTCCACAGCACTTAGGTCTGCCTAACCTTCTCTATTTATGCAAGCTCTGCAAAGGGGGGTGGGAGGGACTTTGTTGCCTCTATTGTTATATCCCTGGCCGCCATGACAGTGCCTTGTGTATATAGTAAGGTCCCAGTGACTATCTGAGAATATCTGACAGTGCTGAGTGCTTGAGATGGTATTATTGAATCTCCTTAAGAGTCCTGTGAGGTAAGTGTTGCTATTCCTCTCTGATAAACGAGGTAACTAAGTGTCGGGAACAGTGAGAAGCTTGTCCACAGTCAGACAGCTGGAAATGGTTGACCGCGGCTCACACCCAGGGCTGTGTCTCCAGAGCCTCGGCTGTTAACCCCCTTCTGGAAGCCCTCAGCCAACCCCACATAGCCTCTTTCCTTTTTCAAAGCTCAGGTGCTGGGAGAGGAAAGAGGGGTTACATCATGAGATCCTGTGAACGGAGAGGAGATGGGCAACGAAGTTCTTAGTGCTTGATTTTTGTGGGAAGAGCCAGTTCGTAAAAAGTAGATGTGGGCATCCTAGCCAGGGGGCCACATGCATGAGGAGGCTGTGCTGTTGACAGAGAGTGCCATTCAGATAATCTTGTCAGAGGTTGATCAGGGTCATTATGCTCTTGATGGGTCATGTATTGACAGATGTGGGGGGAAAATCAGTATTTTAGGCAGAAGGAGTAGGGGCAAAATGAATTAACCGTTCTCTTAGCTACGTTACTCCACCATTCTGGGTCTCGGTTAGTTAATCAGTTTATTTGCTTTCCGTCTTCTACTGAAGTAGCTAACAGTAAGATAGCTGGCGGGTGTTACAGACTAAAGAGCAAAAATCATAAAGGATAGAAAGGCCTTCAGATCTGTCATCCACTTGGGATAATCCTGTCCGAGGACAGTAAGCGTCAGCAGCTGAAAGAAGAGGAGGTGTCTGTCTTATTCTCAATGCAGTTCAGCCCTCAAATGTGTGGGCTCTAAGAATGAAGAGAGGGGCGCCTGGGTGGCTCATTTGGTTGAGCATTGACTTCCGCTCAGGTCATGCTCTCACAGTTTAGGAGTTCGGGCCCCACGTGGGGCTCTGTGCTGACAGCTCAGAGCCTGGAGCTGCTTCAGATTCTCTCTCTCCCTCTCTCTGACCCTCCCCTGCTCATGCTCTGCCTCTCTCTGTCTCTCAAAAATTAATACATGTTTAAAAAAAATTTTTTTTAAGAGAAGAGAGAACAGTTAAATAATAAGCAGTCTCCTCCAAATGCATTAGTTGGTATTTCTTAACGGGGCAGCACATTTATTCTCCGAATTACATTTTGCTTAAGCTTCTATGAAAGTTACTCTGCTTGTCCTCGAAGTCACCCAGCAGGTACAGGGGAGGTGTCCTTGAATTTTGGCAAGGGAAGCCCAGTCGAGGCTGAAAAATGGGCCCAGATGTCTTGCAAAGTAGATCACACACCCTCACCATCGGCAGCGAAATAAAGGTTAAGCGCAGCTGTGAAATTTCGTGCTTAGGAATCTCAGGATAGTTTTCTAATCCCATGAAGACAGTTAACAGCCCGTTTCTGTTTCTGTTTGTCCAGATGTGGCGATATGATCGTGGCCGTCAATGGCCTGTCGACTGTGGGCATGAGCCACTCCGCACTGGTCCCCATGTTGAAGGAGCAGAGAAGCAAGGTCACTCTGACCGTGATCTGCTGGCCGGGCAGCCTGGTGTAGGGCTCGCGGCCAACGCCTTCCTCGTTTGGGCCTCGGAAAGAAACCCCCTCGTCATGTCATGTTTGTGGCTGGGAGCTCCTGACGCAGCTGGTGTCCACTGGGCCCCAAACCATGGAGATTGTCCTTTCGTTATTATTTCAATGGCTTTCCTCAAGTTAGCCGCATCTCCCTTAGCCTGCAAAGTCTTTCCCTGACCCTGGTAATAGGTTCGCATTTTTAGAATTCGGACCCTCCATTGTCAGAATGTGAGCTGAAGTAACGTACGAGGCCTCCCAGACTGTGACCCGGCCAGCTGGATGGGAGGCCTCGTGGCACCGGCTCGGTCTCAGTCACCGACTCGCGAATGAGGCCCACGCGCCCCTACCCCGGAATCGGGGAAGCCAGTGGCAGGAGTGCCTGCTGTCCCTGGCGTCATCAGAGTGTCACGAATGGATCCATTTTAAATTGAGGTGGTACCCCTCCCCCATCTTCCCCTTCGGTGCCAACATTTCAGAACGTCATGCTGTCGATAAAGTGATTTTTCTGGCTGACTTTATTTCGACTTTAATCTCTCAGTACTCGTAGATGATGAAGACAGAAGTCTGACACTTTCTACAAAATAATGTTCCAGGAATCAGAATACTAGATAATAAAAGATCACATTTTCCAGGGACAAAGGAATTTGGGAGGTAATTACAGTTCCGTGTAAAAGCTGCACTTACTTGAAGAAGTCCAGGAGCATTAAAGATTCATTTCCAAAGGAATGTTTTGTTCTGCAGGAATATTTTGAAGCGTTTTTTTGATGAAATTCATTTTCTAGCATTTGTATTGTACTCCTCAGCAGTCTTGATGGGACATGGTTTCTGTGATTTATGCAGTCAAAATAGATAAAGATGAGACCATGTTGTACTCGATCTACATTCGTATATATCACAAGTCCATGTAGAAGGCATACTAGCTTAATTTCATTCTCAGACGAGCTTTCAGTGTGTTAGACACTCTGATTCCCCGCCCCCCCCCCCATTATTTCTCGTGAACGTACCTATTTCAGGAAAAAGACTGAAAAGTCCCGGAGTTTTATCGAAAATAGCGGGTTTTAGATGTGTAGTATCTTCCAGTCAGTTCTTGGTCAATAGGCTATTTCTGATTTTTCTAGATGTTTTTGAAAACTACGACCAACCCATTTTGTTAGTCTTTCATTCCACTGGGTTGTCCTTTGGAAGAACACCTAAAGAAGTGAATAAGATTAAAATATATATATATCTTTATCATATTAATATGATGCATACTTGAAAAAAGTTTCACTTAGAAACCTAGTTCAGAACATGAGCTCGTTTACAAGGGACCTCTGTAGTAATAAATGGTATTGATTATCAGAGAATGTATTTCGAGAATACTACGGTAGATGACGAGTGTGACCACTTTACTTTCAAACTAGCAGTTGCATCACTAGGACTTCTTGTGGCAGTCGCATGTCCCTGTTTATTCCCGTTAGCTTTTTAGTGATTTTTTTAAACAGATCTCTTTTGGAGAAATAAATGGCAACAATAATTGCTACTGATTTGTTCAACCCTTTAGCTACACTGTATGGTCGACATATAACCAAGATACAGTGGCATGGCCCATGCAGTATATTACTGTTATGTGATGATTGGCTTTTGAAGCAATTTGGTATTGAAATGCTTTGATATTCTAATTGACATGGAACAAGTTGTGTTTTTTTTTCCTGCTCCCTAAGTGGAATTTTATATCCTACTTTGCTATTTTTTTAAACATTTTGTAAGAACGCGTCATTTCTTGGGGAGCGACCATCCATCAACAAATCTCCTAATGGCTACTTTGTTATATGTAAAATAACTTACACTGAACCTGGGGATATAATGAGTATTTTGAAAGAAGACACTTTTTTCAACATTATTTTTTATCATGGAGAGCTCGGCCTCAGCTGAAGCCAATTTGGTTTTCTTACAAAACGCGATAGCTTTTGGTCAGAATGGTATTTGGTGATGGAAACTTGTTCATAATTTATGGTTACTGTTGACATATTTGAATTTCCTCAGTTTAAGCCTAAATAGTTCAAATATTTTGATTTGTTCTGTGCCTTTAGTTTAAATTATTTCCGGATTTTTTTCCCAATGTGTTGAAATACTGGTGTGATAATCATTCAGGATGGGAATAAAAGTCATCCTTTCCATAATAGCGACGTTGTCTCTCTTTTTTTTTTTTTTTATGTTTTTTTATTTATTTCTGAGAGAGAGAGAGACAGCATGAGCAGGGGAGGGTCAGAGAGAGAGGGAGACACAGAATCCCAAACAGGCTCCAGGTTCTGAGCTGTCAGCACAAAGCCCGACGCGGGGCTCGAACCCACGAGCCATGAGATCATGACCTGAGCTGAAGTCGGACACTTCACCGACTGAGCCCCCCAGGCACCCCACTCATTGTCTGTTTTCTTGACTTCATAGGCCACTCTTGTGTACGTTCATGGCTTCGTGGTCGTCCTTACCACGTCCCACGCTTCGGGCCTCAGAGTCACATGTCCGTCTTCTGATTCTTACTCCTGTAGCCACAACACATGCATCCCTGCTGATGGTGGGAAGTTTTGCCCACGCAGTACCTCTAGATTGACGACGTCCAATATGTGTGGCTACACACGTGAGAAACAAGACTGGGCTACGTATTACAATGATAATACCTTGGATATAGAGGCTCATATAAAATAGAGTCTTTCTCTCATTTTTCTTTTTGGTGCATTTCCTGCCAGTCTTTCTCTGTGCATTCTTTTCCGAGTTTTCTTGAGAAACAATTAACAACATCCCTGTGTACGTTTAAGGCACATGGCGTGATGGTTGGGTTTATGTATGCTGTGAAGTGGACATCACGAGAGGTTCAGCGAGCGTCCATCTTCTCATAGACACCGTAAGAAGACAAAAACTTCCCGTCGTGCTGAGAACTCGCAGGGTCTAGTTTCTTGACCATTTTCTTGTATATCACATCGCAGTGTTAGCTGTGTTTTGTCATGGTGCACATAACGTCCCTAGGACTTTTTAAAAAAAAATTTTTAATGTTTATTTTTGAGAGAGGGAGACGGAGTAAGGGGGAGGGTCAGAGAGAGCGGAGACACAGAATCAGAAGCAGCTCCAGGCTCTGAGCTGTCAGCACAGAGCCGGACGTGGGGCTCGAACTCACAAACTGCGAGATCATGACCTGAGCCGAAGTCAGACACCCACTAAACTGACTGAGCCCCCCAGGCACCCCCTAGGACTTCTTTACCTCAAAACTGCAAGTTTGTACCTTTTGACCACCTTCCTCCAAATTCCCCTCCCCTTACCCTAAAATATATTACTAAAATTAATTTCACCAGTTTAGTTTAAGTTTATTTTGAGGGGGAGACAGAGAGCATAGGTGCATGCGAACACAAGCAGGGGAGGGGCAGAGAGAGAGGGAGAGAATCCCAAACAGACTCCACACTCTGTCAGCACAGAGTCCCACATGGGGCTCTATCCCAGGAACCGTGAGATCATGATCTGAGCCGAGATCAAGAGTTGGAGGCTCAACCGACTGAGCCACCCGGGTGCCCCATTTTACTTTTTTTTAAATGTGGTTATCAGAAAATTTGAAACACTCTGCGTCCCACCTCGTATTCCTGTCAGACCACAGCACCTGTCGCCTCACCTCTTCGCTTCACAGCACTTTCCGGGCCAGACCGTCCTGACGTCGTGCTTCCTGGTCTTCCGACGGCTTTGATCATTACCTGCATTAAAGAAAGACTTTGTCATTAAAGAAATTGTTCCCAGTTTCTTAGTAAATTAAGTTCAGACCAAGACCAGTGTGGTCTGACCCCTACTCAGGTTTTCTGGGTGGCTCTGTGGTCCCATTTACCCTGTGTGACTCCGGCCGCTCCCCTCCCCCACCCACACGCTCCCAGGCCCTGCCTCCGCACACGTGCCCGTTGCAGCTTGTGATGCGCTCCCTTCCGTGCGTGGCCACAGTGTCCCATATTTGGAAGCATCGCTTGAATGCTGCCATTCTCTGGCTCATACCCCCCACTTTGAAGAGAACTACCCACCTCGTAAGTGTGGATCTCAGCAGGCCTCCATATTTGCTTTTATTATGTCTCTGACCTAGCCACCCTCACAGTCCGGAGAACCGTCTTCAATCAGCACCTTGCAGTTTCGAGCCCGCTCGTGCCCTGCGTCTGCAGCTCGCGCCGTCCGCGGACTGAGGGCACCTCGTGTCACTTCTGCAACGCTGACCTCTGTTTTCTCGTGCGCTTCTCTGGTGCGGTGGTGGGTTATAAACAGGGCAAGGAGTGGGGGGACGTGCCACCATGCAGCATCACCTCTTTTTGGGGAATCTTTACCAACCCCCAGGGCTGAGCACTTTTTTCTCTTTTGAAAGGTTTTATTAAATTCTACTTTCATGGCCATGGATATGTTCTGGGAAGAAGAAAAACTTGCCAGGTACGTGCTTGATTTAAAATCAGACATTAAACATCAGAGATTCTAGGGACGTCCGGGGGGCTTAGCTGGTTAAGCATCCGGCTTCAGCTCAGGTCATGATCTCACGGTTCGTGGGTTCAAGCCCCGCGTCGGGCTCTGTGCTCACAGCTCAGAGCCTGGAGCCTGCTTCCGATTCTGTGTCTCCCTCTCTCTGTGACTCTCACACTCTCTCCCTCTCTCTCTAAGATGAATGAACATTCATTCAGGATGCCACACCTCATCTAGTTATGCCTCCTTGGCATACCTTTCTTCTTGTTTTTAGACCAGGGCTGTGGGTTTGCGGGAGGAAGATCGCCAAGGTAAAGCGCCCTTCTCTCGTGTCATAGCGAGGCTGCATACTGTCAGCATGACTTGTGGCTGTTGCCGTTGACCTTGTCCACCTGGCCTAAGCGTAGTGTTTGTCAGGTTCCTCCACAGGAAAGTTGCTTGCTCTTCCCTCTCTACCGCAGTCGCTGGGCAGAAGTCACATGCACAGCCCACATGTAAGGCATGGGCAGGTCTCTGCTCCAGTTATTTTTGAGCTGGCGGGGAAATGAGGGGTCTCTGGTGCTGCTTAGGGAGGCCTCTAGGGTGGAAAGAAGGGACTGTAGGGGATTTGGAAGTATCTCTCAAGATACTGAGCACTATGGGGGCGCCTGGGTGGCTCAGTTGGTTAAGCATCCGACTTCGGCCCAGGTCATGATCTCACGGCTCGTGGGTTCGAGCCCCGCGTCGGGCTCTGTGCTGACAGCTCAGAGCCTGCAGCCTGCTTCAGGTTCTGTGTCTCCCTCTCTCTCTCTGACCCTCCCCTGTTCACACTGTCTCTCTCTCTCTCTCTCTCTCTCTCTCAGAAATAAATAAAACATTTTTTTTAAAAAAGATACTGTGCACTATGAGCAGATTTTCAAACACTGGAGTCCTCACGCTGCAAACTAGCTATTGTACTTTCTGGCGAAAAGAGAATGCCGTCTGCAAACTCTATAGCTGTCGCTTCCGAACTCGGTTTCCATTCTTTGGTATGTTAAAGCGGGCTGTTGCTTTATGAGTCCTCAAATGTTTGAAGCCTTAGATAAGTGGGTGGTTTAAATTTTCATTAACAAACCTGAATTTCAGCTCCTAAGGGTGCCTCGCTTGTTCGCCACGCCTGTAGCACCCACGTTACAGTTACAGCGAAGTCCCATGAATTCAGACTTAACTGACTTGGGATGCACTCGATTCAACGGAGCTGCAGTTAACTTGGCACTTTTTACATAAGGAATAAGTCTCTTACATCAACAGCTAAAAATGAAAAAAAAAACCATCTAAAAATGGAAAGGGGGGATATCTCAGCTGTAGGCGGAAGTGTGCTTTTTCCAAGTTGCCTTAAGCCCTTGTAGGACGCACCGGCACCTTCCACTGACCGATGGGTTGCTCTCCTGTGTGGTCACTGAAACAAGAATTTGCCCAGCACCTACAGTGTGCATGATGCACAGGCAGGCTCCAGACCGCTCCTTTGCAACGCCTGATTTTATCTTTTCATAATCCAGGCGTTTGGGTTACACAGCCGAGCAAACTCCTACCCAGGCACAGGCTGCAAGTCACAAAGCGAGAGCTTTTTCTCTCAAGTCCCTCTTCTCCGCCCGCTGAAGGAGAGGTTGCAACTCTTCAGGGTCCTGGCTAGAAAGCTCTGCCGTCGTACAGTGTAAATCTACTCCATTGAACTATGCTAGCAATTAATTTCTATGGCAACGCAAAAGCTCTTTAGAAGTTGAACGTGTAAATGCAGCGCCTACCGGCTGCAAAACGCCCAGGGTGAGAGATGGTACGATGCAATCGGACGGGAGGCGAAGGCTAGCCCTTCCAGACCGGGCACCTCCCAGCACACGGCGGAGGCCATGCCTCCAACCAGGAGGGGGTGGCGGCACACAACGTGCTTCAGGATTTCCATCTGAGCCCTGGTGACTCACCTGCACATCACGCTTTGAAGTTGGGCTGCTGTGCAAACTTCCACCTTGATCCTGAAACGTTTTCTGTTTTAAGGGTGAATCCTATGACAGCCCTTCCTTGGATGGCCCAAAACCTGATCACCAGTTTGAGAGGTCACCTTAGAAATATCTACCGCTCACACTCTGATGTAGTGACGGTTGTCCAATGTCAAGGTCCTGAGGGTGGAGGCAGCTGTTAAAAATAAAGGACGTTCCGGGGCACCTGGGTGGCGGCTCAGTCGGTTAAGCGTCCGATTCTTGATTTTGGCTCCGGTCATGATCTCACGGTTCTCACAGACCTCATGAACCGTGAGATCATGACCTCCACTGGGCTGTGCGCTGACAGTGCGGAGCCTGCTTGGGATTCTGTCTCTTCCTCTCTCTCTCTCTCTCTGCCCCTCCCCTGCTCGCACTCTCTCTGTCTCTCTCTGTCTCTCTCAAAATAAATACATAAACATTAAAAAAAAAAAAGAAAGAAGAAAGAGGGTTCTCATTTCCTCTTACCTGTAAGTCATTCCAAAGGATACCATGTCCATGTATCATGCAATGTATCATGATTTCGACCCAAAATCACGGAAGCTTGAGTTGGAAAGTCCTTATCCATGTTTTTCTGATATAAGGATCGCTTCCATCTTCTGTCTAGCCCCTGCTTGAATGCTTCCATGATGGGGACCTCACTACTCCACTTGTGACTGTAAATGATTGCTTTTGGTGGTGATTTGTCCCTGCCTTTCTTCCCAGCCAGACTGCAGAAACT